AACATGTACTCCACAATGGTACAGAAATGAAAAACACGATGTATTCAAGGGTCTGGCAAACGGATGGCAATATCCTGAGGAAAACAGCATCAAAGAACAATGAAGGTCCTTGGCATACATCAAGGAGTAACTGAACCAAATGACATTCTTCCCGAGAGGATCATAGTGGACCGGAAAATGCGGTGTGAAGTTCTGCGTAATGCCTTGTAGCCTTTGGAAAAAGGGCAACGTGGTACTGTATATACTCTGTACCTCGGGAAAGGCAAAGTAGTCTGACAGATTAATTAATCACCTTGATATAATGAAATAAGATTTCTAATTTGACTTTTGTAGTGCATGCCGAATGGCTATAAGACATACGCAGACAACCGACTGGCCACAATTTTCAGCGATGCCAACTACGAGCTAGGCAACAGTGCTGCGGTGATGACGATCAACAAGCATTGTCAGTGCCAATTTACAGTAAGTTGCAACAAAAGCACACGATTAATAACTTTAATTAAGTTATTTAGTTTTTCATAAGTATGAGCTACCACATGCATGAAAATTTCTGATCTTTTTGCGTCAGATTTTTTTTACGATAGCGTCAATCTAACGTCAACTGCACATATGTATTTATCAAATATTACAAATCGTATCGAAGACCAGTTTTAAAGTTAAACTGACCTCCTTTCTTGCTCCTAGCTGCTTAGGGGACCATTTAGGACAGGCGGCAATTTCATGGCATTTTGGCTCCTGCTGGGCATCGAAGCGTCTCACTCATCTCACTTTCGTGAAATCTTATGCTTATCACAAACGATATTTCAGAAGCTAGTACTGCAGATGTTACTATATGGACATAAGTACACGTATACATCTGCATGTTCATATCTTCTTGTTCTACGTATATACTGGTTAGTATATTCAGAAATCTTTGTTTTCGTTCCATGTAAGTACTTTCAGCAGTTTATTGACTGAAATTCAGTACAAAATGAGCGATTTCTTTTTAAACCGCCGGGCTTCATGGCTGAAAACTCACGCAATGTGCAACCAATCATGGAACCCATAAGCTAAATGAGATCTGGTCATCTCCAGCACGGAACAAACAGTTTTTTGAATCCAGCCAATCGCATAAACATTTATTGTCTAAATTAAAAGAAATGGTACGTCACTAGTATTTCACCACTCACATCTCATCGGTGTAGCACAACAGATATAATATATCACTATCACAAGCAGAGTGTTAGTAGTGATAGTACAACAATATTACAAGGAATAAGGAATGAACACACGGTAAAGGACCTATGGATAAAAATTTTATGCCAATGAATATCTAACTATATATAACTATATAGTTTAGCAGGTTAGGATAGATCCGCACAGATTCGGTCTTATCTGTTCGTCGTTCTGCAAGGTCAACAACATCTACGGAATCACAGATTCTGTGTCTACTTCAGCCTCGCGTAAACGCAGATGCATTCAGACCTTGTGTAATGACAGTTCTAAATGCTTTCTGAATGGGCTTAGTGCAACTGATGAAGAGCTCGAGCAGATTTTGTACCGTGATGTGCGACACTGCTGACGATATCCATATAAATAGCTTGCTGTTTCAGAACTCATAATAATTTTCTCAGGTCCACTTTACGAATGGTGAAAAAGTTCCGTGCTGAAACATTTGTAATATGTGGAAAAAACCAGGATCTAAATTCACTGTTCTCCTGTTCCTTCTAGGGTTTTGAGCCACAAAACTGCACCTTTCAAGAAACTGCCGTACCTTGGTAACTGCTTTTCTTGCATGTTTGCTGAGGCATAGACTTTCGTCTGTGGAGACAACACGTAGTTTGTGTTGGAAATGCTGTCGCTTTCTTGATGATCCTGCAGCAAAACTGATTAGAAACTGCAGTTGGTTGACCTGATACTACTTCGACTTGGTTTTCATAACTACGAAGGTTTATTTCAGTAAATACACAGTTCGCTGTCAAATATTTCCAACACCAAAATGGCTCCTTTTACAGTGCTGGCTACTGTAAAGGAGATAATCTGTCTCCCATATTTGACGGTTCTTTCCTGGTCGTACGCCGTGGGCCAATCAGCGATGCTGGAACATCTGTGTTTGTTATCAGCCGAACCCTTTAGCAAACCCGAACGCCGCCATTCACGGAGATTAAGGGGACCGTCACAATAAGAACGCTCATCAAAATTTTATTATAGTTAATCAGTAACTGATACCCGTCAGAGTAGTTATGAACAGAGTGACCGTGCAAGAATAATTTCAAAGATCATATACTGCATTAACTGCTAAGGTGTCATTAGATTCTCCATCAATGCGATTGCAATTTCAATGAAATGGTTCAAAGAACTATGTTCATGAACCATATAACCCAAATTTGTAAAATTTCCAAACAGTCAAGCATTGCGAACGAGGAAACTAGATGCCGGAATTTCTGTACACATACCATATGAAACGTAAGTAGGTACTTTTTTCGTATCGTGTTTTACCGATCCAGATTCGAGTGTAGGTTTGTCGAGTCTTCTTTATTACCTCTAGTAGTACTGTTTTGATATATCCAATAAATCAATCAATCAGACGGAATACTTCTTGGTACTTAAAGAACATAATTTTGAAAGTTGGCACTCTCGCGCTACAGGCGTTGAAATGCCAATGAACAGTGTCGTAATACCTCCTGGACTTGTAGAAGCAAGGGACAGTGCATTTCGGCTGTGGAAGCTAGGACAAACAATACGCATTTCACAAACAAATCAACCGTTTTAAAGGTTAATTTTTGTTTGTTTTAGGTATTTAAGCCAGTAAAGAAAGGTCCGACACAGGAATCAACCTCCAACGACTCACTTACTACGTCAGAATCTGAGGAAACGACAAGCAACGAATAAATTATGCAAGGCGAAATTTCATGTTAATTATATTACTCAACTCATTTCATTGTTGCCCTTATGAAATGTATTTATTTACTGAGGCTCATAGTTATGAAAGTAAACGGACAAATTTTATTTTGATTTTGAAACGGAAATAATATGCAAAATGGGGGGGGGTTAAAATTACAGAATACGACATACTCAATGGAATGCACGAAATCTTATTTACGTCCATTTAATTTTCACCTGACTCTCATCATACGTGTGGACTTGTGGCATTGACGAAAATAAAGGTGTCATGTAATGAGGGTCCATTCGGTAAACCGCTTTAAGATTAATCTTCATTTGTGGATTAGACACACCACTGTCTGAGAAGGGAACTCTACTCTCCTATCAAAGTGTAGGTGTTTAACAGATTAAAAACATATCTTTATTCCTTGCCGACGGGGATTTTATTTTTTATTATACAAGCTATTTAAACGTTAGACCCAATCCGTTTTCATCGCAAGCAATCAGAGCTTCCAGGATCGGACAGTGCCATCGATTAAATCGATGTTTAACGGCATGGTTTATATGGTTTACGTCATGCCTTGACCATGCCATTAATCACGCGGCGAAGAACTGTTGGAACCTGTCATAACCATCCTACGCAATTATGTTTGTAAAGGTACAGGATGTTCTGTCATAGCCGGTCCACGCCGCTGATCATACCCTAAGAACTAGAATGGATGAGCAATGCTGTCCATAACCCGAAACTACGATGGAAATTTTCACGACTAAGCTATTTGTGCCATCGGTTATCTTGGCCTAACGTCAACATGGTCATAACCATTCAACATGGTCATAACCGCGACATGACCTAACCTTGGAACTCTGCAACTGGCAAGTCGTGTACGGCTTGCTATAACGACATTAGAAAGGGGTAGATTTACTTAATGGACTACGAATGATCATGAAAGCACAAAAGGAAAACGAACTATAAGCCAAATTCATGCCGAAAGTCTGAATATTGAAGCCACAAAATAACATTTATGGTAACTGGTTATATGTTTATTTATGATAACTGTAACATTCGATATTACAATTTATCAGAATGATAAACCGCTAGTTTTCAATCTTTTTCCGCAGAGCTTTATCAGGATCAAGATCGCAGATTCTGAGCATCTTAGTAAGAATAGCACTAAGAATTCTGAAAAAAATTTGACTACCACATCACTGCGTCACTAAGAGACATCAGACTGATTTTACTGGAGTAACAACCATAATCACTTCGCAACTCTTAAACGACGTTTGAACAGGACCTTGAAAAACAAGGCAAACCGAATGTTTGTAGAAACATTCAACAAGAATTAGTCCACTAAAACAGAGACAAAGCCAGGAAATAAGTTTGAATTAACATTAAAGTCAGCAGGTACAAAAGCAACAAGGAAAGATGTTTCTTAAGCCCACTGAGCACTTATATTCGGTCAGGAAAAACAATGTAAATGTATGAAACTTCTAACCATCTTTAAAACAAGAATGGCTCTGAACGTGACTCCGTATTCTTTTTTACCTTATATTCACATATTTTGGCGTTTGAAATAGAAACTATCAAGAATAAAATACAGTAAACAGTTCGATAATAAAGTACAGAGAAACTGCCAAACCGAAAGACGAAGCAGTAACAAAATTCACAAATGTACTAGAAATTTAGAAACAAGGAATAATCATTCATAACATTTCAGAATTGTAGCACATTACTTAGAATGCAATCTTCAGTATTAATAATGTAAGAATTCTCGACTGTAAAAAGTACAGGCTTCATCAACGTATTAGAGCGTCTCTGCATGTTTCGCTAAATGAGGCAAAGACTGGTAACCACTGTAGCAGCTTTACGGAAATTTTGTCTGCTAAGAAATCCATGTGAACTTGCTGCTGGTCTCAGTGTTTACCTTATACTTCTTTAGTTGCAGCTCCGCTATCTCTAACAATTACCCACCATCCGGCCAGTTTATCCGTCCTTTCTCATTTCCTCTATTTTTGTTTTACATCTGCACTTTCTCTAATGAACCAGACTATTTTGTAAATTTTCTTTGCTTTATTGTCCGCCTGTCTATTGTATCATTGTTTAAGTATCCTAATGATTGGTTATGTGCTGCAAACTGAAAGCCGGAGTAAAAGAAAAAGAAAATCCTTGCGTCATATCCAAAGCCAATCGTATTAATGCTTCACTTTTCCTTACGAAGACATTGTGTCATCTTTAAGGTAAGAAGGATTTGAATTCGGAATCATTCAAATAATGATCACATTGTTTGCGTTCTGTATAAATAAACAGTTTTATGTTGTACTCTATTCCCAAGACATTGTCAATGTATAATTTAAATGGTTTATGGATGCTTTTTCTATGCAAAATTGGTCCAGGATTGTAATTTATCAAAGAGTTGAACATCCTTTAAAAGTCCGCAATAAAACACTGGAAAATCATTGTTGGCGAAGTAATTTTCCTAGACTATCAAAGGTCCAGTCAGTAGCGAAATATCAAAATTTGATATTTTCAAAATTCTAAAACTTTCTTAGGGAATGACAACACATTATTGAATTTAACAGATAAATTCTCCAGCGTTTCTAACCGTGTTCGATTCGTCTTTAGGGAGAGACATGACATTGAAAAAAATGTTGTTGCATGAATCGGTTGTCCGGTAGCAAGTTCACTATATCGAGGTTAAAACCGCGATAGCTGACACTGTTTCATAATTTCATCCAAGTGCAAACTTAGTTCCACATAGTCGTTTCCATGCGTTAGTTTGATTTAGTTATTAGGGTTTCCTCTATCTTTCGGCTTCCTATGAAGTTCCTTATTGCACATCGGTCGGTCATTCAGTGAACCAATCATTGAGTCCAGCTGGAGGAACTGATGTCAATTTTTTTCCAGTCCCAAGCACCATCTATCTTGCGTCACGTGCTATTTCCACCAGTTTACATACATTCGCCATTCTTCGTTTTCATGATACAGAACGCGATGTAAAATTCCGTGGCGGTTCTTTTCAACAGTGGAGGAGTCAACTGGTGATACCAACAAAAAATGCGTTAGCTTTTCCTTCGTGTCGAAATTAGAACGTCGGTTATTCTATTACAGAAAAAGCAATTTGGCCTCAATTTTTCACGCTGATTGGCCAAAATGTGTATGATCAGAAAAAACTCACTGACACAATATAGGCAGTAAAACAGAGACTACAGATGTGTGCTCAGAGTAATGAAAATAAAGTATATCTGCGTGTATGGTAGATCACGCTCACATTGCCTTCATTGTGCTTTCTTTCGAGAACAATACATTTTGTCTACTCAATTTCATTCCGTCGAAAGTCGTACTTAGGATGCATTTCTAATAGTAGAACTGCCTCAAAATGTATGAAGAACTTTGCTGATCGTGGTTTTTAACATCTTCCTCGTGACTGCTTTCATTCTTCGCAACGGCAAGACTGAAATTTCACTTTAAAAAGCATATTTACAGGTAAATCGCATTCTGATCAGATACCAGAGCTGCATCACTATCAACGATAGATGCAGAATGGAAAGAAAATTAAGCAGCGTTATACGGTTGAAATCTGGATATGAAAGGAAAATTAAATCATGACGTTAAAGGCCGGTCTTAAAATTACTACATCTGGACAATCCCCTAACCATGATCATTACACTGTTGGTAAAACCATAAAGGTCCCGCATCCGCTTCGTCGTAGTTTCATATCGCAACATCAAACTACCGTCAGTGGCTATGAAGAGTGTCTTCCAGCAGATGCTGAAGAAGCAGAGCCAGCGCCATCTGACTGAAAAGAGAACACCATATCAGCGAATGACGGTAAATGCATGCTTTGTTAGAATTTTAAAGGGTATGCTGATTGCACAATAAACCGAACACTCATGTCATTCGATCAGTTGGACAGGGTACTTTTGTAGCGTAAAAGGGTCAAAACTTGGATGCTGCCGGGTTGCGTCCTCATGATATACCTACTGACAAGGGAGACTGCTTCATTAAGAGAGGCAAAGTACGAAAGACAGTATAAGTGGAATAGTCCGTGTTGTTGTTAATATAGAATGTAATATAACTTGTGAAAATGATGTTGTGTGAATGGGCAGCTGTTGCGCTCTGTATATACTGAACAAAATTCTTTCAAATACGCTTTTTGTTTTCGCCTGTAACCTAGGTTTGGTTGCAGTATAACCGCCCCGCATTAACAGGTGCAAGTTTGGTCATGAGGCAAGTAGCGGGCATCATAAGTAGAGGCTTTTTGTTTCCGAAACTTGTTTACACATTGTGAGGTAAAATCTCACCAAAATTTACAATATGCACTATATGACAAATGCTTCGAACCAAGAACCTAAAACATTAAACCAGCAAGTCATGCCCTCGTAGATATTGAACCGCATCTTCGTACGCCGACGCCAAACGCCATGCGATAGTCGCTGTTTGCTTTTCTGCTTTTTTGGAAGCGGCGTCGACTATTTCATTCACTATGCAGCTAAAGTCGATCACAAAAAACATCGCTTGTATGGCGAACGTCTTGTTATAGGCGTCCTTCAGCTGCTGTAAGGAAGGCAACTCCGTGTCAGAGACGAATCGGCTCATAGTGTCGAAGTAATGCTCCAGTATCTCGTCTTGGTGAGACCGGCGCAGTTCGGCGTCAACGTTCCACACCATCAGATGAACCAAGTCGTCCAGGCACGTACCCCGATGAGCTAACTGCCAGTCGATTATGCCGACCACCGAGCTGCCATCGGCTGAATTGTCGAAGAAGATGTTGTTGACCCAAAGATCGCCATGCACCAGCACGATCGGCAACTTTTCGTCGCACAGCTGTTCCTCAGCGAGTGCAAAGTGTTCAGATGTAAGACGCTTTACCAAGCCGATGTCCACTGACGTGCCGGTGATCCGTTGAAGAGTGACGCTTAATTTTTTCATAAGCTCGCTGATCGTGTCGGGCGGCATCGTAGTCATCCACCGTAAATATTCCTTGTACGAAGGCACGTTTGCTGACCAGGAGTCGGTCTCCAGAGACCAAGTGTGCAGACGGCAAAGCAGATCGATCATCGAATGCAGCTGCTTCAGGTTCAGGCCCTGAGAAACGTCTTCCCAAGCATGACCGATTTCCTGCAGGTTTTGAAGGACCAGCATGCCTAAAAACGGAAAATTGAGGTGTTTAAAATCAGACAAGTCACAGAAAGCAAGACAGAACTCACGTAACGTTTTTCATTAACTACATTAACTATATCACAAAGGAAACAATAAGCAAATAAAGTTTAGTTCGTTTAATCTTACGCAAATTTATTATTTTATCACTCAATAATCGTAGCGAATTGCAAACTGATAGCAGACATCCAAATTCCTTTGGGCTTGTGCTTACGGCAGCATCAAAAGATCTTTGTTCAAATGGTTCCCGCTATTCGGGCCTTTTTCATGCTTTCTGGCGGCCTTTCACGTGAATTACGAAGAGAAACCATCTTGCGTGTTTTGCCTCTTGAGTCCCAAATTACGACAAAATCATTAGCATCGCGAAGATTAAATATTCTTCTGCGTGAATGGAATCATCGGCGAGTTCTGAAACGCTTTCAGCATAAGCTTACGGCAAAGCCTCACAAAATGTCTTAATGAAACACGCCTGAACAAAAATATAGCAGGAAACTTTTTATGTTACAGAATCGTTGTGCAGCCAGAACTCTCGAAAAGAAACCTATGAGACGTCAGACAGCCATTTCAATTTCAACAGCGATTCAATCTCCTTTGTTTTTGATCGAAAAACGCTTGACGAAATAATATGCAAGAGAGACAAGACGCAGCTGTCTGTTTTCTTAAGAGACTACTGCTACCTCGTTTTGGCGTCTAATTTTAGATCACCCAAAAATCAATGGCAGCAAATCATGGCTTCATAAGGTTTTCGCTACAATCTTTGCCGGACTTGACCAAAAAACATTAAAACGATTACTGGAAAAACTGAACCTGATGATCCGATGTTGAAACTTTTCTCATACTGTAAACGATTGACGATGCGTAAATGATTTAAAAAATACTTTCAGACGAGCTGCCAAGGTGAAGCGACCAAAATTCAAAGTACACCGCAGAATTAAGGAAAGGCGATATTTACTGACAACGGCAAATCAAATGAAAATATCAACATGGTTGCAAAACTTCTGCTAACCATG